CTGAGTATGTCCTTCAAGAAAGGCAGTGTGTTGAATATGATCAAAGCTGGTGAGGAACCCTTCCCGCGAGACACTCCTCTGCTTCCCAAGTCAGACATCACTTTGGATCAGTTGATGCACGATGAAGAGATTTCGTATCTCGAAGCCGTTGAGGTCATGTTTCGCTTGAGAAAGGAATCCAACCTTGCTGAAATGCCCTTTGTGCCGAAGCCAAAGGCCAAAGCCAAGGCCAAAGCCAAGGGCAAAGCCAAGGCTTTGCCAGAGGCTGCCGAGGAACCTGCAGCCCCAAAGGCCCCGAGCGCCCCCACGCGGGACCAGCGACCTGGGTCTTCCGAGGATCCCACAGCAACCAAGGTAGATTTGGAGGGGCTTCTGCGCATGCACGAAGGGGTTCAGAAGCGCAAAGCAAATGAGGCTAGCAAGTCTGTTGAGGCCCCAGCGGGCCCCGACGGTTCTGAAGCTAGCAAGAAATCCAGGAAGAAGGCGTGTGAACCTTCTGCAAAGTCTGTGGAGCCTGTTGCTAAGGCCAAGGTTTCGGGAAAGGCTGTGGAGCCTGCTGCGGCCAAGGTTTCAGCAAAAGCTGTCGAGCCTGCTGTGCCCAAGGTTTCGGCAAAGGTGGCTGTGCCGAAGGCTTCTGGAAAGGCTTTGGAGCCTGCTGTGCCAAAGGTTTCGGCAAAGGCTGTGGTGGCTGTGCCAACCAAGGTTTCTGGAAAGGCTGTGGAGCCTGCTGTGCCCGAGGTTTCGGCAAAGGCTGTGGTGGCTGTGCCGAAGGCTTCTGGAAAGGCTTTGGAGCCTGCTGTGCCAAAGGTTTCGGCAAAGGCTGTAGTGGCTGTGCCAACCAAGGTTTCCACGCCTGCGGCGAAGGCTTCGAAAAGGACTGTCGAGCCGTCTGTGCCGGCTGAGGTTTCGGAAAGCGGAGTGGAGCCAAGCGCCAAGGTTGCCAAGACTGCGCAAGCTACTGCAAAGGCTTCTGGAAAAGCTGTGGAGCCTGCTGTGCCGAAGGTTTCGCGAAAGGCTGTGGATGATGCTGATCGTGGTGGCCACGACTTGTCAATGGACAACTGTGAGACCCAGACCCTTTCCAGTGGGTGGACACTCGACTCTAATCATCTAGCTGCCTAATTGTGTTGCTCTACGCTTCCAGTTGGCATTGAATGTACACCGTTTTAGGCTTAATTTCCCAGGTCCTGCGGCACGCTCGAGGGAGCAGAGCAGCAGCTTCAGATGCAGAAGTCGGCCTTGAAGCGCCGCAATTCCAC